TCAAACTTTCTTACTTAAGCGGTATAATTATATAGTAGCATTACAGAAGTGGTATTTATTAAATTCACCATGTTTATATGTGGTTTAGACACCCTCTTCCTTTAAGTTAGGTTTTGGGGATGAATTTTACCGGGACTCATTTAACATACACCACTACTAGTTCCTTTTTTTCTCAGCAAAAAATAAAATAACATCTTCCTATTAACATGCACACAAAACGTTTAAAAGGCGTAATTTTTTCCTTTGATATGCTTATGCTTTAGGTCGAAATTAATTTGAAATTTCTATGCAATAAAGTATCGTTAATTAAAGTGAATTTTTGCATCCCATTGAGCATAAAATCATGGTGGTTTTTTTTTTTTTTTTTTTTTTAATATTTGACAAGACTAATCTCCAAAACTGGCCAGCAGGCACTTACCAGCCGGTAGAGACCCCCTCAAGCTGATCACTCATAAAAGCATTAACCAATCCGACCTCAACCCACATGAACGTCGTATGATCTGTAATAATTTTGTTTCAACTTTTAGGGGAGATTGTTGTTCCCCACCTTGCCTTCTGTCACATCTTAGCAATTGGACGGCTGCTCTATGCCCCCTATCATCAATGTTATTCTTGCAGCATTACCCAACTGAAGGGAATAAAAGTGTCTTCCCATGAGAAAGCAATGGGACACTTGGATAACTTTCTATGTAAATTTAGAAAGAAGCTTTACCATGCATGCTTTAAAAATCTGTTATGATAGTCTTTAGTGTTGTGTTTTAAATGGAGTGGAGATAGAGAGTGGTTAGAAATTCTTTTCCAAAATTTGTCTATACTGAAAGTTTGAAAGAAATTAATGGATAAAAGATCAATAATGAGAATTATAGTAGGGTATGAGAAAAAAAATTATGAGTGGGATAGAGTTTTAACTTTTAGATCGTATTAAAAAAATTATATCAGATTAAAAACATACGATCATTTAATGTAACTTTATAAAATTTTGATGGTTAGAAATTGTGTTATTTTTTGTTCCTTTTAATATCTTGCCACTGAATTATCTGATTTTACACTAATAAGAAGTTTTTGAGTTTCTGTTAGATGGGTAACTCTGATAGTAATTTGGATTATTTTATGGATTATGGACTAGACACCCCATGTTCATGGACCCTGTTTTAGTCATAATTAAAATTTTGGATTATAAATACCAAAAGCTTGAGCATAATATATATTGTAATTGCTTTTTTATTTTTCTGTGCAGATCATACATATATCTATCAAGTTTGTGACATTCTACCATATATATTCTAATTCCAAAATATATCATGGGTGATTGGTCTGCTCTTCCTCGAGATGTTATAGCTTGTTTCCCCAAACGACTGACTTCCTTGAAAGACTACAATGCTTTCCGGGCAGTTTGTACGTCATGGAGATGGGCCGCGACTAAAGAAAACTTTACTACTTCACAACAGGTTCCGTGGCATGTGGCTTTTTGTGTGCATCATGATTTTGAACAAACCTGGAGGTTTCATAGCCTCGAGAAGAATAAGGTTCACCTTTGCCTTTTCAATCTTGTTTGGACAAAACACATTTGTTCTTCTTTAGGATGGATGATGACAATGAGAAGGGATCGAAACAATGTTCAGAACAATCTCCTTCTACATATGGCATCCTTAATCACATACTCTGATTCAACTCCTGTACCAGAATTTCAATTTACTGCCGCTCTGTTCGTCGGTAAGGTTGGAGAGTTTGGGAGATAAGGCTTTGATCGTCGCCAGTGGTCCGTCTTTCTCCGTCAAGATCTCCGGCGATACTGCAGGGTACTTTACAGCCGATTGCTCGCATCTATTTCAACATGGGTTGTGTCACGGGTATCTTTCATATGCAAAGTGAAAAATATGAGACCTTTTATATTAAAGGAGTCCACCCATTTTTTTTTTCCTCTCCCATGGATCCAACAAAGCTAGCTTTTGATAATAATACTTGTTGTAGGGTAAAATTATGAACCCTAAATATGAGGCCTTTCGATTATAGATGAGTGCATTAAATGATCGAGGACAATTCAGTCTTAATCGGCACGTCAAATGACAACTCTCTTAGGATACATAGGATGTCGACCACTCTGAGGAGATGCAAAGAATAACATGAGGTCAACTACACTAACTATTGTAGGCGAAGATGATTCTGGATGCGCTTATGAAGTCGAGTCTATGCAAGTCGAGAGATATGCGAGATTTGTTTCGGGATTTGCTATTTCGTAATTTAAATATAAGAAATTTAGCAATGAAATCGTCATAATTGATTGTAATCTCTATTTTTTTAGGAAACTATCCCAAAAGAGAAGGAACATATCCCCAAATTAAATGGGATTATCAACTAGAATGATGGGAAACGATGTAAATAAGGGATGGTAGGTCGAAAAAATTCAGAAGTCTCATTGCGAGCAATGAGAGTGTGTAATTCTCTCTGAAAAATAAGCCAATTCTCTCCTCTCTACATTGGACGTAGTTCTTGAATCAAGGGTGAACCACTATAATTCTCGTGTATTCTTACTATTTGATTGCTTTTAATTATGTTTTAAATCATTAAATTCACACAAACCATTTTAAAATTTATTATATTTCTATTGACGAATTTTCATCGTCAACAATATTATTTAGTCATACATCCACCTTATCAACAAGTTTTTTTTTTTTTTTTTAAAAAAGAATATATAATTACTCTCTAAATTTTTGTTTTAGATATTTTATCAAGATAAGTTTGTTTCTTTGTGATAGTTGGATCAAATTTTTATCGGAACCATAAATTTATGATGTAACAAACTCCCTTTGTCATTATAAGAATTTGAATTTTTTGTTATAAAAAATTTGGTAACCAAAAGCGATGTTTTTGGTAACAAAATAACAAAAGGTTTTTGATAGCAAAAAGTGTTAGCTTTAGGAGTCTAAAATTTTAGTAGAAAAATATATTTAGTAGCAAAAAATACGCGATTTAATCACCAAATATTTAATAACAAAAGGTATTTAGTAGCAAAAACCATAAAATTTAAGGACCAAATATTTAATAGCAAAATATATGAGATTTGGTGACCAAATATTCAGTAACAAAAAATATTTGGTAGCGAAAGAATATGAGATTTAAGAACCAAATTTTTGGAAACAAAATATATTTAATAACGAAAAATATAAGATTCAAGTACCAAATATTTAATAACAAATAACTAATTTGTTGCTACCAAATTTTTTTAGTCACCAAAACTAAAATAGATTTATATACCCGTATTTTTTGAAAAAATATATATAAATAAAATACCAAATATTAATTTAAAAATCTCTAAATATTTCAATACATATTAAAATCCAAACAAAATACTAAAATAATCATACTTACGCAAACCCAAACACTTCTGTAAATATTGTAATAGTAAAATCTTAATATTACAAGAATTAAACGCTCCAACAAACTGAGGCCGGTGGAGACGGTAGTGGAGGATCTTCTCTTCTTGGGACAGAAGGTCCAAGATGATCTATTGGCAGATTTATCTGTTGAAGTAACTTTTGAATAAACTTTTGTTGTTATTTTATTAGAATTTTCATATCCGACATACGACGTTTGTTTTCCTGAACTTCATTTTGAAGCTTTTTATAACTTGCCCTTTTCTCTTCCAAAGCCCTGTTGTCCATAATTCAGCATTTTCAAGGCTAGATCAAGAAACTTTGGCTGGAAAACCAACAGCAAGGTTAAAGCATAAAAAAAGAAAAACAAACCAAAACGGATGAGCAAGTACTACATATGACACAAACATCCTCCTTAGTTGCAGACCTGGAAGATGAGAGCAGGAAGAAACATTGAAACAGTCATGAGATGGTAGTACTTTCGGAGAAGAATCCTCTCAATCTTGCTATTTTTTTAGATATTATAGAATTTCAAAATAGATGCACAAATCACAATCACCCAGTAGATACACAAGGATAGTCTTTTTAGAGGTTCTGAAAAGACAAAAGAAAATACCCTACCAAAGGGATACAATTGTAGACATTAGAGAGTAATCTAACGAAAATGCTATATGAAATATCCAAAGCTATTAAGTAAAAAAGTATTTGTTTAGAAAACAGAAATGATATGGCTTTCAAACTAATGCTTAAAGTAGCCCACTTATACATCTTGATAGGCAGAGAGCATCTCAAACATCTAATTAGACATACAGGAATGTTTCAATCTCCACGAAAAAGTTAAATGACAATTCAATTTTAAGCAGGAAGAGATTTGGAGAAGATTTCTGCAGAAAGCATGTAATTACTTCAATGTTTTAACCATTCGACCTAAATGGATATGAAATTTTTGTTTCCTTGAAACAATAAACCGCCATTCATCTTTTGATATTAGAAGCCAAAAAGCTCTTATTTAGCGATAGTGTGAATTTTCACAAAACCTATAGACTAATAGCCTGGTAAGGGCTATAGGAATTAGTTATGAAGAACTTCACGGTACAGGCAAATAGAAATCATGGACATGTATCCGATTCCTTCACAATTCTAATATCTACAACATTCATAAGAAATAGTAACGAACGCAAGGTATTCATTAAAATAGCTTTTAATCCTAAGGGTTGCTAGTCAATCATTCTTCACGTAGTCACATAGATCATCAGTAATCTTACTAATACAATGACAACTAAAATAAAGCAACATAAATTCTACTTAAGTACCACACACAGACACAGGTTAGACTGTGCACCCCAAAAAAAAAGGGGGAAAAAAAACCAACAACAACAACACCACCAAGATGATCTATTCACCGGGAAATTATTGTGTATAAATTGATAGCTACCAAATAACAGCTACATAGCTACCACACTAAATTTAATGTAACAGAAGGGAACAGAAGAAGATAAGCATTACCAGAGCAATGGATGCATATGAAAATCCAGAAAAACTGCATCCATGATGGAATGATCAGAATCATAACGAATCCAAGGGAAGAGAAGAATATAAGGGAATTCGAAATCTCATTGTTGGTCCTTGATTCAGAATATCGTTTACTTGAAAACCATTCCCATATTTGTAGTACAAATTTAAACACCGCTGGGAAAAGAAGAAGGCCAAGGAGCATCCCCGGCAACGAAGAGAAAAATAGCCATTTTAACTATCCATATATAAACGAAACACGCACCATATAATCTAACCTGCATTGTAGAAAAATGAAGAAAGATTAGTTTGGAGCAAATCAAACCTAACAAATGGACAAGGAAAAACGCTTTTAAGGTGAATCTGGCCGTAGAATCCAAATCTAAACCTCAAATTCCCAGACCTAACTCAATTTTTAACCACATTTGTCGAATACTCACTCTAAAAGTTCCGAATTCGCCCTATCGGTTCAGCATTCCGAATTAACAAGATCAAAGCAAAACAAAAACACCAAACGAGGGGGGGAAAAAGAAGGCAGAACAAGAGGCTCACTCAGCAAGGTTACCGAGCTGACACAAAACTCCGACGAGGCCAGCCATGGCGACGCCTTCTAAGAGCGCCTCGGGATCATCCTCATCGGCGGCTCTGTACAGCTCAGGATCGGCTAATCCGTACTCGCTCCTCACCCTGTACCTCGTCAAAGAAGCAGAGGATAGAAGCAGCGGAGTGTTGGATCGAAAAAGAAGAAGTCGATGAGGAAAAAGGGGGCAGAGCAGAAAAAAAAAAGGAGAATGGAGCGGCGGAGTGTTGTTCCCGAAGACCGAATCCGAGGAAGAGAGTGGAGAGTCCAGAAAGAATAGGGCGGAGACGAAAGAAGAAGAAGATGATGAAGAAGAAGAGAAGAAGAAGCGAGAATAGGGTGGCGCCGGTGGGTGAGGGTGAGGGTGGCCGGTGGGTGGGTGGGTGGGTTTGGACTGAGAGAAGCGCCGTCTGGGTTGAAAAAATGAGAGAGAAGACCTAGAAGGGCAAACTTGAAATGTTGAAATGAGAGAAGACATGAAAAACTGAGAATTTTTGGCGGGTGGTGTGTTTGTTTTGAATTTTTAGGGAGTGTAGATTGAATTTAGTAGCAAATATTTATGGGCTTGTTGTTTTGAGTGAAAAACTCAAAAAAAAAAAGTAATTTGAGTTACAATTTTATTTAAGTTCATATTTTTTTAAGTTTAAATTCGAATTTAAACTCGAGTTCAAACTCGAGTTTATGACTAAAACTCAAGTTCAAGCTTCCTCTTTAACTCGAGTTCAGAAACTCGAAGTCAAATTAATATACAGTATTTTTTATATTCTTAAAAATATTATAATTTTTTCGTTTTAATTCTGATTGAGATGATTTTTTTCTATGCGTTAACAATGAAAAGACGAATAAAACCCGACCCAGATACCCTATTAAAATTTTCATGGGCATTGAGTTTTTATTAAAATACTATCTAAGTACAAATTCAAGTTTTGACTCACTCAAACACAAACTCAAAAAGATTCTTATCTCAAACCATAACTCAAATGTATACAACCAAATACAAACTCAAGTTACAAGTTCAATTCAAGTTATAACTCAAATTCAACTCAAGAATTATACTCAAGTTAAACTTCAAAAGAACAAGCCCTACATGTTTTTCGTTACCAAATATTATTTTAGTAGCTAAAAGCATATTTTTTCTTATTAAATTTTAATTTAGTAGTAAAAAGATATATATTAAAAAATTAAAAAAAAATATATTTTGATGATAAAAATTATTTTAAACTCATTATTTTAATAACATTATAAAAAAAATATAGTGTTGAAGTTGAAATATATTTATTCTATGTTAAAAAAACAATCAAATAGTAAGATCATATACAATATGCGGAACATATACTTAATTAACAATATTATATATATATAATATGAACATGTCTTTTATTATACCTACACAAAATAACTAAATTATTAAATAATTATTATATATAATATACTAGGATGATTGTCAAAACTTAATATAAGACATATTTATGGAAAACAAGAAAAAAAAAAAACAATACAAGCACAAAATGTAAGTTTTGAAGTTTTTATATAATTTGCTACCAAACAGAACTTTTGGTAGCAAAAAATGCCTTTTTGTCACCAAAATATGAATTTGGTAGCATAATCATGTTTTCTGTTACTAAAATTTGGTACCAAAAACTTATGTTTTTTATTACCAAATATTGTTTTGGTAGCTGAAAGCATATTGTTTGCTACCAAATTTGAATTTGGTACCAGAAAGACGTATATCAAAAATTAAAAAAAAAACATTTTAATGACAAAAATTATTTTAAAATCATTGTTCTAATAATATTATAACAAAAAATATAGTTTTGAAATTGAAATATATTATTCAAAGTTAAAAATCCATCAAATAGCGAGATTATATATTACTATATGTGAAACATATACTTAATTAACAAGATCGCATATGTATACACATGAACATCTCTCTTGTTACACCTATACAAAATAACTAAATTATCAAATAATTGTTATACAAAATATACTAGGATAATTGTTAATACTCAATATAGGACATATTCATGGAAAACTATAAAAAAAAAAAACAATACAAGCACAAAATATAAATTTTAAAGTTTTTATATGATTTGCTACCAAACACAACTTTTGGTAGCAAAAACCATATTTTTGCAACCAAAATATGAATTTGGTAGTAAATTATTGTTTTATGCTACCAAAATTGATAGCAAAAAATTATATTTTTTAGTAGCAAAAACTTAATTTTTCGCTACCAAATTTTGGTGGCAGATAGTTATATTTTACTTCCAACACTTGGTAGCAAATGTTATATGTTTTGCTACCAAAAATAATTCGGTAGCAATTATCTCGGGCGGGAAAAAAGTTTACTTCCCGCCAACCTTTTGTTACCAAAACATATTTGGTAGTAAAAAAGTAATATTTTGCTACTAAATTTTGGTGGCAGAATCTTATGCTTTTGTTACCAAATATTATTTTGGTAGCAAAAAACTATTGGCGGGAACCAAATTTCATTTTCCCACCATGTTATTTATTACCAAATTATATTTGGTAGCAGATAGTGTTGTTTTTGCTACCAAATTTGGTAACTAAAGCCTTGATAATTTCAGCTACTAAAGTTTGGTAACAAAAAGTGTGTATTCTGCTACTAAAAATTTTTTAGTTTCAAAACGTTTGGTTTTTTAAAGTGATTATTCTTGTAGCGTGTACTTTTAGCCTTAAAATTAGAATACAAAAAGCACCAATTGTAGTCCTAAAAGATTCTGTTCTTTTATCTCCCCGTTTATTCAGAGCTCATTTGACTCTGCACACCCTATTTTGTTGCCAATCCCTAAAAGTAATGTTAGAGAGTTGTCATCTTTTTATTAATAGATACAATCTCTTATTGATGTGGCAATATTTTAAATACTTAACAATGTAAAAATGACAACTCATATATCACATTAGTTAGTATATAAAAGTTGAGATTTGAGTTGGTGTCCTAAGCAATTATTCTTTCAATAAACATGCTGTATTTTTCCCTAGTATAGGCTATTAAAGGTTTAGAGAGATATAATCATTAACTCATTTGCTTCCATAAGTGAGGACGACAGAAATTTGACACTAGAAATGTTACAACTAACAGTTCACTGCTTTTAAGTTGTGCAACCTAATTAATGCAGATAATCAATAATTAGAATTCATGGCGGGTATAAAAAAATTACTTTATCAGTAGGATAGAGTTTTAGACTGATAGATCACATTAAAAAATCATATCAGCTTAGAAACATATATCAAATTATCAGATTTTTACACTTATAAGAAGTTTTTATATTTTTGTTTTATGGTTTTTCTTGTACGTGTCATTAAATAAAATGTCAGATGGGTAAATCTGATAGATTATATTATGGATTATGGACTAGACAGTAGACACCCCACGTTCATGAGCTATCTTTTAGTTATGTTTAAAAACTTTTAATTTTGCGGGGGATATTTTTTGAGTACTTTTTTTATTTACTTTTTTTAGGCCTTTTTCAAGAAAGCTAAAGGGTCAAAAAGCAAATTTTATTATATATATGCTAATTGATTTGTTTCTTTTACTTTCGGTGTGGCCATTCAGCAGCATAAAAGGATTCATCACCCTTCAGAGAGAAAAGGATAGGTATCACACGTCGAAGTGTATGTATGCCGACAAACCTTAGACTTCTCCTCATATATATAGATATATATATATATAGAGAGAGAGAGAGAGAGAGAGAGAGAGGAAAAAGCAAGAGCTTGTTTCTCTACCATGCTATAAAGAATTAGCTTTCCAATAGAATCTTAAAACAACTATATTAAACAAACCTTTATATAAACATGTTTTGTAGAAGCTTTAACCAAATAATGACAACGTTAGGAAGCACAGCCGATTGATCTTGGTTGAAAAATAGAGACACGAGGACCCAAAAAAAAAAAAAAGGCCACGATTATTTTGCTATATTCTCTTTAGTTTTTTTTTTTCCTTGTATATTTGTTTAGTTGATGTTAGTGAAGATGATGTATAAAATGAGAAAAATGTGGATTGGAAAAATTTGGGAATATGTTCCCTTAAACTCATTATTTTCAATTTTTTTTCTTTTTTGTCATTCTGTTTGAATTCTGTTGTTTCTAAGTAAACATATTAAAAACATGAGGATAGAGATTTTATAGAATTTAAAAAACAAAAAAGATAGTAGATCGCCTTTTTTAAGGGGAAATAAAAATGAATAGCCTTTTTGTTCTGGATAGGGTAGTAAATAGAGGATTTTAATAAATCCGTGATTTATCAAATTTATTCCATGACAAAATTTGATAACTCCAGGATTTATCCTACGATTAAATTTGATAAATCCAAAATTATTAGATTTGGCAACAAGGCACATTGTTGGTCGAATAGTTGTCCTTCGATTGTATAACTAAAACATGTCATTTGCCTGTTAAACTACGACAAAGTTTTTATTTTTTATTTTTTTATTTTTTATAAGACACGACAACAAAATTTCAAACCACAAAAGACCATTTTTCATGTAAACGACAATAGAATCTTGGGATTATCTAACAACGACAGCAAACTAATGAAAACGACATGTCTCTCTGGAAAGGCGGGAAAATATTTGACGTATTTCGTGGAAGCCCCTACAATTTGTCGTTTATGAAACAAAAGAAAAGAAAAGACGCTATATCTAAAGCACAACGACATGACGTTTATCGCAAGACATTTTGTTTATACATAAACGACAGCATACCTAATATAATAGAAAAGGATGTCGTTTATCGTGCCATGGTTCGGATCATGGTTCGTAATTCGTTACAGTATTTTTTCTCACAAAAAACACACATAAATCGAGATTAATTCTTAATCATGATTTTAAATTCATCAACTAAACGTCCATTAAAAATTTGAAATTAGGGCTTTAAAGGGAACTGTCACAGGTCTTTGGTTTAAATTGACATATATTAATTTACAGAATATTACAGCCGAGTCACCACACTATATTTGGTATTTTAGGATACGAATGCTCGGCGGACAACCGCTAATGTTGGGGACAGTAATCAGCGAACAACTGGTAACCGGTGACCAGTGTGATGCCGGCTGGTTTCTAATTGGTAACCGTCGATATCCACCTAAATACCGTTATCCGCTACTAATATTGGTGGGTATAAAAAATGATACCGGCCGAAAACCGCAAAGGCCGGCGGCACCATGACCCTAATACCATTTAGGTTGGAAAGTTAAAAACACTGGTCACAGTAATTTTAAGAGCACTCTACTTATTTTGAGTGCAGAGGCATGAAGATGTGTGTTTATTAAGAAGACTAAAACGATGTCTTCCAGATACTGCATATTTCAAACACTCAAGTTGCAGTATATTTCCTGCCAGAATATATAAATTTTAGTACTAATTCATATTTGTACAACGTATTCCCCAAAAAGCTAATTTTACACAAGAAGTAGTTCAACTGAGGCAATTGGGCTTATGGCCTCACGGCATCTTG